TTCCTCTCCTCTCCTCTGCTTTCCTCTCTTCTCCCCTCCCCTCTTTTTCTCTTCTTTCCTCTCTTTTCCTCCCCTCCCCTCCTCTCCTCTCTTCTCTTCTTCTCTTCTCTCCTCTCTCATGTTTGTGTGGTACTGGGGTTTCAAACTCAGGCATTCCTCCTACGTGAAAGGCAAGAGCTCTACCACTGAGCTACACTCCTAGACCAAGTTAGTGGCATTTTATCACTGATAGTACTAAACATAATAATAAACTTTTCATATTAATAATCTTCATAGTAAGCCCCTCAAAAAAAAGGAACTGGTGAAGTTGTTTAGTAGCAGAGCATTTGCCTTGCATACACAAGGCCTTGGCTTCAATCCTAAGCACCAAAGATGTTTTTAAAACTCAGGAACTGAAGAGTAGCATTATTGTCCCAAGTATTGCCATCAGTGTTAACAAAGCAATCTGAACGATCTTATCAGCATTAGTCAGATAGATTCTGTCACTGGTCCTCTCCAAATTCTAGCTTCCAACAACAGTCCCCAAAAGTGACAGCCACTGTCTTGATCACATACAGGCTCTTTTCTCCCTCCTCTACCCATGAAGGACTTTGTCCTGGCCACTCCCTCACCACCATAATATGTTTTCCTAAGATGTCATCTCCACATTCTTGCTCACCCACACCTCTAAGTCTGCAGACATAGTACACTAATTTCTACAGCCTCCTGACACTGCTCCCATTTTCTTCAAAAATTCATAATTTATGAATGCATTGTCTGTCTTCCCCTTTTGGATGTGAACTCAAGATGGTGGAGGAATTTATCTTCTTTGTTGTTGGACCCCAGATATCAGTCAGCACACAGCACATGTGCAGGAAAAGAAAGTCTAGAGAAAAAGAAATCAATATGATGGCATTGCTCGACATGGTATTGCTTTCAAAAACAACATTCATGGGATAGATGTGTGGGCTCAAACAAAACAGTCATTATGTTCTATCTTTTTTTTTATTTTTATGAATTTAGGACAGGGTCTACAGGGTGTACGATCACTACGTAGATCGAACTCTGTGTAATTCTCCTGTTTTCAGCCTCCCAAGCTCTGGGATTACAGAAGCGCACCACTGCACCCAGTCTCGATCACTGTCTCAGTGCACCCCAGTGATGGGGCTGGCACAAAACATGATCCAACCCCAGCTTCTGTGCTCTGCCTAAGCAGGTGCTTTAGACCACTGAGTTATCTGGCCAGCCCATTATGTTCTATCCTATTTCACAGTTATCTCTCTCTTTTTTTTTTTTTGAAACGGGGATTGAACTCAGGCCCTTGTGCTTGATAGGCAAGTGCTTATTCTACTGAGCTATCTCCCCGGCCCCTCATATTTTGTACCTTTTCAAAAATCTGATAAGTTTAACCAAAAACATAAAATTGCATTATAATTCTCAATCATTGCTGACACTGTTATAAACCAATAAAGTGAGCTTATGTCTAAAATGATGCACTACTATATTTATATCTTCTTGAGCTTAGATTGTTTTTTGAGATGATCTCACGATGGAGCTCAGGCTGATCCTAAATTTACAATCCTCTTGACTCAGCTTCTTGAGTGATGGGCCATTTCTGTTAATTCTGCATTCCTCATCAGTTCTGGGCTGATCTCTCTGTCCGTACTGTGAAGCTCCCCGTGCACACTCACAAGGCTAACTCTCTGGCCTTTCCAGGTCCAACTATACTAACCTATGCTATAGTAAACCATGACTCCTGTAGTAACCACTTTAAGGATTTTCTGAATGTTTAAGTTATAAACCAACGATCCAATGATACACTATATGTATATGTTTTTCAGTGCCCTGACAGCAAATATGATGAAACTGAACTTACTTTTTGTTTGCATGTGGTATGGGGGATTGAATCCTGGGTCTCTGCACTGAGAAATATCCCTAACCCTTAATTGAATTTAATTTAATTTATTCTATTCTACTCTATTTTTGGTGGTACTGGGGATTGAACCCAGGATTTTATGCCTGCAAAGCAAGAGCTCTACACTGAGTCATATCCCCATCCCCCTTATCTTATTTTTTAAAATTTTGATATGGTTCTTGCTAAGTCACTAAATTATTCACATCTGTTACCCTACTGCCTCAGCCTTTAGAGTGCTGGGGTTATAGAGATGAGCCACCAGACCTGGCTTTATTCTGAGTTTTTAAAAGTCATATAAAGCAATTTTCCTTTTCAAATTAAAATTAAATCCAAGCCACATTTTCATTCACAAATTATTGCACAAATATTAGAATATGTCCATGGTCATTTCCAAATGAATGAAAACCTCAGAAACCTTTTTTACCTGGATTAGTTGTAATAATAGTTTTTGAGATTACAGTTGCTGTCATGCAGCTCCGAAATTTGTCAAAATTTATTCTTACATCTGCAGCAAATATTACTGTTTGGGGAAAAAGCCATTTAAAATTATTACACAGGGACACAAAAGAACAAATATTGAATCCAATTATAAAATTATGATACCTGTTTCTTGTGGCATCCAGTTCTGTGCAAGTAGAATGGATTCATTATCCCAACTGTATTTGTTTAAAAAGAAGTGAGGGGCTGATGAGATGACTCAGTGGTCTAAAGCACCTACTTAGAATAAGCTTAGCAAATCACAGGGACCGCGGTTTAATCCCCCAGCACCACATGCCAACCAGCCCTGCCCCCTGGTGGGCTGAGCTGGCCACACACACACACACACACACACACACACACACACACAAAATAAATAAAATTAAAAAAATAAAATAAAAATAAAAAGAAGTGATACAAAATAAGTGCATTTGAAAAATAATAGAGACATTGCTTATCACAAAAGACAAAAAACTCTGTCTCACTGGAGGAGGTTAACAATCCAGGTAGTTAAAGTCACTGAGTACTTAACAACTATGTAATAAATCACCCTTTCTGTGTACACACGCACACAGAGATACACACACTAATTGTTTGTTTTCCCAGGTCTTGTACATTCCAGACGAGCTGAAATGGAGTGACTGGAAGTCTAAAGGCTTTCAAGTCAAATTTTCAGTCCATTAAAGTAGGATCGCCAAAATAGATGAATTGTTTAAGGGCCTTGTTTAGTGGAAGGCAGTTCTCAGATCAGTCTCCTCAGGTACCTAAACATCAGACATCTAACAGTGCCTTGCTGTACTTTGCAGAGTTTCAGGATGTAACCCCCCACCCTTTGCCCCATCCCACTCCCAGGATATTTTCAAATAAATGCAGAAAGTTTGGTTTATTCCTTATACATGGGAATTAATAAAACACCATTTGTTTTTAAAACAGGATATAATAGTAGTGGGTACAATGAAGTCCATCTGAACAATTTTATGTCATCTAAAGGTCTCATTTTAAGGTCAGGCCTATAAACCCAGTACTTGGGAGGCTGAGGCAGGAGGATTGCTGCAAGTTCAAGGCTGTCTGGGCTACAAAGTGAGTTCAAGGCCAACCTGAATGGCATAGCAACCCTGTCTCAAAAAGACAAAAAAAAAATTAATTAAGATTTCATTTTAAATAGAATCCACAAGGATTTATGAGATTTATATTTTCATGTCTTTTATCTCTTATCATTATTCTTGTCTTGATATGAATTTCACTGTCTCCTTGATAAAATGAAAATACTACGATTTGGTGATAACAGCAGGATATCAGTTTAGAAAATATGTAGGAGGTTACCATGTCATTGCAAAAGAAGGCTCTGTTTCATCATAGAGTTTAACTTCACACCTCTGGCCTTTTCTTCGGTCTGAAGTTGTAAAATATTTTGGCTCTCCAACCTTAGAAATAGAAGAAAATCATTATTTTTTGTGTATATGTGTATGAGTCCTTAAATGTTAGTTGATGGAAATATTCAAATATTTATCTTTTACACATCCAATTAGAAATATTAAAATTGCAAGAAACATAAATGTATATTTGATTATACAAAGGAGCCTTCTGGTCTTTTTTTTTTTTTTTTGTGGTACTGGGGATTGAACTCAGGACTCTGAGCTGGCCAGGCAAGCACTTATTCAACTGAGCCATCTCCCAGCCCCTTTTTTTGTTGTTTTGAGACGGGATCTCACTATGCAGTTCAGGCTGGCCTAGAGCTCATTTTGTAGCCCAGGCTGGTCTTGAACTCACAAAAATACTCCTGCCTCAGCCTCCCAAGTACTAGAATTACAGACATGTACCACCATGCCCAGAAGGAGCCTTCTGTTTGAATTAGATATATTTGGCTGAAATTGTAAATTATACTTTGAAGACAAATGTATCCTTAAAGTTAAGACTGTGTATCTTTTCAATATGCCAGAACAAATGTTTCATGGTAGGCCTCCTAAGGGTACCTATGTGGACCCTCTGAGGGAGGGGAGTGAACTTTCATCTCTGTATCCCTATTGCTTAGCACAGACCCTGGCATGGAGTTCACATGACTGAATGTATCCTGAATACTGATCTGTCCTTTGCCTTCATCAAAAGATTAAGGTGTTGAGGACCAAATAAGGGGACATACAGGAAAGCACTTTGACATGCTGTTCTATTGTGTCTGCATTACATGCTAAGAAGATCAAAGCAGTAGAGGTGAACCTGGGCCCTTGTCGCCACCCAATGGGCCCTTGTTTCCAATCAGTGGGTTTTCATATAAGAAAAGCAAGTACCTCTGGTATCCTTACAGAAAAACCCCCTCAGCACAGGCAGTCGGCTATCCTGATGCCATTGTCACCATTGCACCTATGGTCAGGACTCAGCCCTCTGGGAAAGAGCTGAAGAATGATATAAAGGTGCCAAGAAACAGCTCTAGAAGAGAAAGTCGGAGGAAAGAACAACCAGATGATGAGGGACATTAGCTAGAAAATGAAGTCTGGAGGCACACTGTCTCAAAAAGGAACTTTAAATTGAACAGATAATGAAGGTAAGAAGAAAAACAACAGGGGGGAAAGAAATACAAGACCTGCAAGTAAAAAAAAAAATGACAAAAAGAATGAAAAGAAGTGAGTAACATAAAAGAGGATTGTATGCTCTTAGTTGGGGGAGGAATTTCAGGGTTTTGCTTGTGTTTAAACTGTGACAGCTTTTTCTCCACTATAAATATAACCACATTATATAGAACTATACAGAATTGAGTGCCATGGAGCATTCAGTTAAATTATTGAGGAGGACTGAACCTAAATTATCTAGAAAGTGGCTTTTATATTTTAAGAGTGACATAAATGGGTGTTAATTCCTCTATCCTATGCTGAGGCAGGAGGATCGTTGTGAATTTGAAACCAGCCTAGGCTACAAAGTGAGTTCAAAATCAGCCTGAACTGCATAGTGAGACTGTCTCAAAAAGACAAAAATACAATACAATACAATACACAATACCGAGCACCCCACATGCAGCAGGGTTTAATGGGTAAGGCCAAGATTGGCAAGCAAAACAGCTGTCTGCAGCTGAGGACTTGCCATCTGGGGGAGTCAGCATACTCAGTTAGCATGGAATGCCAAAATATAATCTGAGAAGCATTTGTGCTTACAACACTAAGTACAAGAAGAGTCTAACACTATGTATGTTTGTGTTCTGGTGATCACCTTTCCCTTTATTCAAGAAATTATTCCTGTCCCTTAATTTTATGCACATACTTTATCTTGAAAAACTTTGAATTGCTACTGAGGATTGAATGCAAGGCCTTCACACTGAGCCATGCTCTTATTTTATTCTATTGTTTTACTTTGAGACAAAATTGTGCTACATCACTAAATAGCCTAGCCTGGGCTTGAATTTGTGATCTGCTTCCGTCTTCCACAGTGCTGGGTTTACAGGGCATATACCACCATGCTAGGCTGAAACTTTACTTCTGAGATCCTCTAGATCTGCATAGAAACTTAGTTTATCTTATCTACAGAATTCAGAATTTGCTGCAATATTCAAGATGCATTCTGGCGCCACAGAAGGCAACACATTTCTAGGCCTGTGTGGTGCTGTTCTACATGCTTCTCAGCAGTGTGTGCCAATCCAGCCCCTACGGTATCCCATTTGTGTTCTCTCTTTCCACTCTGATTTCTGAACAACCTTGAAAACACAAGCACAGAACTGATTCCTGGTCTTATTCAACTACCCCCTTTAAGGAACATGTTGGCTCTTCAGGTCAATATACTTATCCTTTCTATATGTAGTTCTGCTTAAATCAAGTCTCAAAAGCTCTCAAACAGTGGGTCATTTACAAGTGAAACAGTTTACCATGCATTTACCTTTCAGATATGATTATGTTACTCAATTATAGGCAAAATGCTAATTTCCCTTTAATGAGAAGTGCTTTTCTTTTTTTTTTTAATGAGAAGTGTTTTTATTCGCTCAACTTACTACTTGTCTTCGTAGAAAAATTACCCAAGCTGATCCTGACCACTACATTCTCAATTAGCTGATAAGAGACTCTCCTGCTTTTATGGTTTGCATCTAGTTGTCCCCCTAAAGCCTCATGCAATCATTGGGGCGGCTTCTAGAGTATGTGATTAATTCATGATCCAACGCTGGGATTATGGGTGTGAGGGCCACACTTGCCCTGGGGCAGATAATCCACATGCAAATGTAAGGAAGGGAAAAAGGCTAGCTAACTACCACAGCTGCTGCCCCTCCCTTTGCTCTTTGCTGTTTTCTGCCACCATGAAAGGCTGTCCTCTGCCATGTGCTGCTCGGCCTTGGAGTGAGCTGAGTATGGACTGAAACCTCCACTGACTGTGAGCTAAATAAACCTTTCCTTCTTTAATTCTAGGGTATTTGTCTCAGCAACAAGTAAAAACAAGTAAGACACCTGCCAAACTCTAATTGGCTTTGTTGGAGTTTAACTTACCGATCTCACTGCTGCAAGGATATTAATAATGCTCCCATCAAGACTATGCCCATTTGCAATGATGTCACCCAGTGAATAATAATCACGAGACTCCTTAACAGGTAAATGTATCAAAGAAAGTAACTTGGTGTCCACTTCATGACTGGAACAAACTTTTACCATTGAGTGATTCTCACTGAGCAATAGTTTACAGTTGCTAAATAGGAAAAAACACATTTAAAAGTTAGTATCAAGTGACTTTTAATAGCAAAATACTTTCAGTTTTATAGTCCTATTACTTTTTTTGTTGTAAGTTAGGCTATATTGAAAAAATTATTCTTTTTACTCTCAGAAACATTGAATAATATTGCAACATATTTTTGTCTGAAATGTACTTGTCTAGAACTTCTAAGGCAATTATCAAATAAATGTATTGCTAGTAAAAAAGTATTGCCTAAAAATAATAATAATAATAATAATAATAATAATAATAATAATAAGCCAGAGATACAGCTCAGTGGTGCAGCACCTGCCTGGCAAGCATAAGGTCCTGAGTTAGATTCCCAATACTAAATATAAATAAGATGTACTTGTTTTAAATTGCAGTCTTCAATTCCTCAAAGAAATAAAATATGCTTCCAATTAAGAAAATGTTTTGGAAAAAAAAGGGGGGGACCGGGGAGATAGCTCAGTGGAATAAGCGCTTCCCTCACAAGCGCAAGGGCCTGAGTTCAATCCCCGGTTCTGAAAAAAAAAAAAAAAGAAAGAAAATGTTTTAGGTATCAATTTGTGCCTGAATTCTAGGTATACTAATTCTCTGACTTTGTTCAAAACCCTTTTTTTTTCCTTTTTCCTTTCTTTCTTTTCTTTTTTTTTTTTTTTTTTTTTTTTTTTTGAGACAGAGTCTCACTGCATAGTTCAAGGTGGCCTTGAACTCACTATGTAGCCCAGGCTGTCCTTGAGCTCACAGTGATCTTCTTGCCTCAGTCTCTGGAGTACTGGGATTAGAGGTGTATATCACCACACCTAATCTTTGTTCAAAACTCTGAGCTTTAGTCTCCTGTTCTGTAAAATATGGGTATAATAGCACTCTAAAAATTGGGCATGGTGGTACATACCTGTAATCCCAGGATTCTAGTAGGTCAAAGAAAGCAAGATCACAAATTCAAGCCCAGCCTGAGCAATTTAATAGCATTCCATCTCATAGTTTAAAAAACTTGAGATACGCTAGGTGTAGTGGTGCACACCTACAACCTTAGCATATGGGAGGCTAAGGCAAGAGGATTACAGTAAGTTTGAGGTCAGCCAGAGCTACACAGAGTTCAAGACCACCTTAAGCTACATAGCCAAGCCTTATCTCAAAAAGATAATCAATCAATATAAATAAATAAATAAATAAATAAGGAGTAGCCAAATAGCTCAGCAGACTAAAGTACCTGCTTAGACAGATGCAGGGACTGGGGTTCAATACACTAAATAAATAAATGGGGATATAACTCAGTGAAAAGTGGGTTTAATACCCACTATCACAAACAAGAGGACTATAAAACTTTAGGAAGCTGTAAAATTCCAAGAACTTATTATTTCTCTCTCTTATGACCCTAACTGCCCTGCCTAAGGTCAAATACAGTTTCACTTATTATTATTTATTTATTTTTTGGCAGAACCAGGGATTGAACTCAGTCCCTTGCACTTGCCAGGCAAGCTCTTATTGTACTGAGCCATCTATCTCCCCAGCCCCTGTTTCACTTATTTAAATTGGGCTGTGAATAGAGTAGATACATAATATTTATAATATACGTGAACTGAGGCGCTTTTTCCTTACATGAAGTCAGTTCCCAAGTTCTTTATAGAGCATTCTTCACAGGATTTTTTTTGGAAGTGGCTGGTCTCAGATTCCTGAGCTCAGTCTTCAGCATCAGCTTTCTGAATAGTGGGACTACAGGTACACATCATGGTGCCCAGATTTCACACCTCTCTAATGCAGCTCTCTTTTTTCTTTGCACTGCTATCATCTTGATTATCTACCTCATCAATTCTTTCCCAAATTACTGACTTGGTCTCCTAACAAAGCCTCCCTTACAATCCATCTTTCACATACAGCCAAAGTAGTCTCTCTAAATTATAAATATGAAAATATTATTTCCTAGCTCAAAGAGCTTATACAGCTACTCATGAACAAGAAATGAACGTGGATGACAGGCAGTGCTGTTTGCAAATGTGTCTGCTTTTACAATAAGATTCTCTTCCCATTGCACCTTGCACTTGGCCTGCATTCCAGCATAAGTACCGCATGCTAACCGATTGCACCACTGGAGCTCATGGTCTGCATTTTAGCTATCAATATGAACTATTTATTTATTTATTTATTTATTTATTTATTTATTTATTTATTTATTTATTATGGAACTGGGGATTGA